AAAAAATCGTTGCAGAGTGCACAATACTTTCCCTACCGTGCACAATATTCTCTCCACAGTCACCGCAAAGTCGCAAGGAAAACATTATCGTTGCAGCGACAACTATAAAGTGCGCAGAGCCATTGCTGAAGTGACGACGTCCCTATTATTGTGGCTCGTCAACGTCTCCAACGATCATTTTCTCGTCCTTCGTGGGGTTTTTCAATGCATTCTTAGAGAGAGAGAGAATATAGAGAGGAAATAATTAGGGTTTAAAATAAAATTGGGTGAATTAGCGTGAGTTAGGGTGGATATGTAGATTAATATAATTTTATAATATCATTTATTAATATTAAAAATTTAATTATTTTCGATTTTTTGAATAAATAAATTTTAGATTTGAATTTTCAAGTTGGATCTTCAAAAATATGATTAGGTGTAATTTCCTCCTCTTCTGCACCAGACTTGACAAAGAACAATCATACAAGAACTGGTTCAAGCCACTTTACACCTCTGTGCTCAGCAAATGAGGCATTAGTGATACGTATATCAGCTAAGAATGACATTACTGAAAAAGCTTATCAGCTAATGGAAAGAAATTCATGACAAAAACTTTCTTCAAAAAATAATTTAATTGAAGAGGTTCCCATTAGACTTCAAAACCATATTAGCTTAAAGAGAGGATTACAATAAAACAGTGCCGTACTTGTCACTACTACAAGAAATATATACTTTCCCTACAAAAATTTCGCAGACAAATTAAAATTTGTGGGCGGAGTTTACTTTTCCCTACAAAAAGATATTTCGTAGGGTTATGATTTGATTCAAAATTTTTAATAGTGGAAGGATTTGTATCCACAAAAAATTATATTCTTTTCAGACAATAAAATTTGAAGGGCAAGATACATCTTTAGCCTACAAAAAATTTGATCCATTTGTAGGCTAATAATTCGTGGGAAATTTTTCCAATTTAAAACACGCAAAATTTGTAGAACACGGAAAACAACTGCTGCTTCCTCTTTTTCCATCACTGTGCGTGAGAGAACCATGGAAGAACTGCCGCCTTCTTCCTCAACAATCGACCACCACCCGCTACCTAGATCACCAGATCCCACTACCATTCGAAGCCTCTCACCTGCCTCTTCAACCTCTAGTCATCATCGGGCCCACGGAGTTGTCGAAAACATCCCCAATCACCACCCAAAATCGCGCTACCAATCACGATTTTTGCCATATTTCCACCACCGTCAGCGCGGACCACCACTCTCCTCCTCTCAACCAGGTGCATCCAGTACTACCATGGGTCACCTGCAATTTTGTCCAGAATCAAGAGAGCTTGTGAAAGCAGTTCGTGAGTGCTCTAATTTGTGTTTTTTTTTTAATTTTAAGTATTATTATTATTGATTGGTTCACTGTCTGGTCTTGTCCTACAGACTCGTTTAGACCCAAAACTGTAATCTGGGTTTTGAATAAAAATTCATTTAGTGAAAGATCTTTTAATTATCCGATTTTAGGTGAGTTTATCAGAAGCATTTGAACTCTTATTCCATTTTTGTTTTATTATACAATGTAATTATGTAAATTACATTCTAAAAGAGTAAAGAGTCATCAGTAGAACTAGATTTTTTATCAAAAAAATTACTAACTCTTTGCTGTATCTTTTACTATATTAGTTTGTCATTGTACATGTTTAGCATTGATTGCTGGAGAAAGAATCATTTGAGAAAACATACTTTGCTTCCAAGGAAAAACAGAGATGTTATCTTTTCTGGGAGAAGTCTCAATATTTTGCATTGACAAAAATGGGTTCTAACATGAATATTGGTATACGGTTGGATGGAATTGAACAATATAATTATCATTTCTTTACTATATATATGCCATAATTCTTGTATTGTAATTTTTTAAAGGCAGATTCTTTTTTCTCCCTTAATTTTTTTTTTTTTTATTTTCATTTTTAATTTTTTGGCATTTTTCTATTATTTTCTTGAATTAATAGTGAATCCATTTAAATCTGGACAGAATGATGAATGGAAGATTTACAGAAATTTCTCTACATTCTTGTTTGTATGCCTGATTATGATAAGAACGGAAGGATTTTTGGTTGATATTACTTATGTTCAGAGTGCTGTGGCAAAAGGAGCAGGCAAAACATTAAGGGTCAACATTTAGAACAAAATTCTATTTTTTTTTTACGTGCATATATATATTTTTAAAAAAGATTCAATATTTATTTTTTTGCTTTGTGTTTGCAGTTTGTTTAGACGGTAGTCCACCGGCATATCATTTTGATAGGGGATCTGGTGCAGGAATTAACAATTGGTTGGATCATATCGAGGTTAGTCCTTTTTTCATAAGCTATTAAAATATATATACAGTTTTTTTATGGCAGCAGAATGGATTATCGAAAGATTATACTTTAGATCATCCTAGGAAATAAGAGTAGTTACCTGATTTTTTTAAGAGAATATAATTCATACAATAGGAAAAGATGTAGTAACTAGGTTTGAAACATAGTAAAAATGATCATGTTGAGATCAACAAACATCACAATGGAATTGATTAAATCATGTAGAATAAAATTTATCTTCTTCTTGTTGCATTTTTGGCAATCAAACTGAGTATTTCACTTTTCATTTTGCCATCCATGTACCAGAGATATATTTGGCCAAATGCTTGAAACTGTTGAAATTGAATATTTTAGTATAGAAAGTTAAACTTAATGTTTTTATTATTTCATATCGCTTTGACCACTTGAATGGTTTTCATCCGGATTTTTCACAGGTCATGTCCAAGTTATGCATAAAAATAATGAATTTTCATCCTCTATAATAACTTAACAAAATCTGTTAATCTTCGTGTTCAGGGAGGAGAATGGTGCAACAATGTCACTACTTGCCTTGAACGTAAAGACAATCGCTTAGGTTCCTCCAAGCAAATGGCTAAGCAGGTTGTATTTTCTGGGATTTTGAGCAAAAGATAAAGTTTAACCCAGGTATACTTCACATTTTTGATTGATTTTGATTTTGTTAAAACTTTTATATTTTTCAGTGTTATCTTTAATAAATATGGTCTATATTTGAATTTCTAGATTTTTATAATTGGAATAGGATAAAGGTTGGATATTGTCATGGAGCATCATTTATTGGATATAGAAGCAGTAGATATAATGAAATGGCATCATATAATAAATATGATCCCTTATATCTTCTTTTTCACTTTCTAGAAGTCGTTAGATATAATGAAATGGCAGTTTTCAAACATATAGTGAATTTCTTTGTTGTTCGAATATTTATGGAAACTTCTAATTTTTGGATCAATATTCGATCAGGCTAATAAACTTTACTTCAGAGGAGCAACAGTTTTTGTTGCTATCATCGAGGATTTGTTAGAAAAAGGAATGAAGAATGTTGAAAATGTATGATTTTCTCTTATGTTTTTTCCTCCAACTTAGACTGTATTCTTACTTGCTATTGTTAACTTGAGTGTTCTTATGTAGGCCATTCTGCCTGGATGTTTAGTCGATGGATTAGCATCGATTTTGCATTATTATCTATATTTTGTTATAGAACGTTAAGAAGACTTCCTTCTTATATAGGTTTATTGGAAAACTGCAGCAAGGCATTCCCGATGAACTGGTCAAGAAACAGTTAGAGGGGCTATGTGTTATCTATTACTTAATCCACCTTCACAAGCACGAAAGTGATTTCATTGCTACAAGCTGCATAGCTCAAAAGCAAGCTTGCTAATGATCAGCTCAGAGCTTTGTATTCTTTTACTGTTTTTTCTTAGAATCACTAGTCATTTCTCTATTTACTAGATGCCTGTAAATTGAAAATTACCTAGTTTGGATTTGGATGAACTATAAATTTTGTTATATTTGTGTTTTGGTAAAATATTTTGATTTAATATTAAATTGATTGACACATGTTTAATTAATTTATAGTCTTTGGTCTTTTTATATTATTTTGAATAAGGTTAAAAAAAATTACTACAATATAAGCAAAAAAAAAAATATATGAAATAATTTAATTTCTCCCTACAAATTTTTTCAAAATAACCTACAAATATGTTTTCCCCGCAAAATTATTTTTAAATAGGGTTTAGCCCACAAAATAATATGTACCAGGTTGTCATAAATATTCTTTTCCCACAAAATTTATTTGTAGAAAAAAATACAATTTAGCCTACAACATAATTTGTAGGGAAAAGCGTAATTGTTTTGTGAGTAAAATTAACTTTAGCAGACGAATGATTTTGTCGAGGAAAAACTTAAACGACGAATTGAGTTTGTCTTCAAAGGGTTCGTAGGGAAAACCTTTAGCCCACAAATTTAAAAAATTTGTCGTCTTATACCTTTCCCCTCGATGTTTGCCCTACATATGTGCCTACAAAAATTTTTCGTCTGCAAAGATTTTTTCCTACAAATATGAACCTTTCCCTACAAATTTTTTGTAGGGAAAGCATAAATTTCTTGTGGTGTGTATTTTACTGGGCCGAGGCAAATTTCAAAATTTGGGCTCCTAAGTTGGAGCAAGCAATCCATTTTTAAATTTATCAGAGTTTTTTGGAACTAAATTTGTTAATTTAAAATTAAAATAAAGAAACAAATAAAATGAAATATTCAAAATATTTATATTATAATCTAATAGGAATACTAAATTTTATAAACAATCACTTAAATGCAACTCATCTTGCGATTTTTGAGGCAAAAATATCAATCAATTTTGTATAGTCGAATTGTTCAATTATTTATTTTTCAATGGATAACATAGCCAATCCATTCAATCTCTCCTATGACATAGCTGATTAGAGATAAGATTTGATCAATTTCAATTTGAAGAAACTTATTTCTGCTGATGCAACTATAACTAGTATAATGAGTAAAATATTGTAAGCAATGCAAGTATTTGAAAAACAACCATTCATTTTCTTCAAGTAATTTACACATCAATTGTCTTTTTTTTTTTTGTTTCTTTAGATAAATAGCACTTCAAGATTGTTAGCTTCGTACATAAGTCATTACCAATATGTCTGAATGTCTATTATACTTCAAATACTGCTCAAGATTCTCACAAGATTTCAACAAACCGTCAACATGCAATTTGTTTAATTTCTCAACATTAAACAAAAATCCAAATATCTCTTCATAATGTTTAAGATGTTCAAAGCAGGTTTGAAGTAATGATCGAGCTCGATCAATTATAAAGAGAAAATAATCAACTTTAAAAGATTCTTCAATTGATTTTGTTACCTCTTCACTCTTACTTTCATCGAACTGTAACTTCTTTCGAATGCTGCGTTTATCTCAGAATACAACGTCAATTCCCATTTCACTTAACATTTGTTGAGCTTCATCTGTAGCACTAGCAAATTCAGATTCTCTACACTTTTCGAGAAACAAAATAAGTACTTGTACTAGCTTGATAACTTCATCAATATCCATGTTTTCAGTTTGACAAAAAATTTATTTACAATATTGATTGTATGCAACAACTTATATCAAATGACCATGCCAAGTAAAACTCAAAATTCTCAAGTTAATATATTGTTAAGGACATAGCTTCACTCTTTGTTTTGAGATCTTTAGCAATGTTTGTCAATTCAAGTAAAACGTCTCTTATTTGTATAGATTATTCTTTTCTAGGTTCGACACTTTCTACATGACTTTTTCAGTGTGTTTATGACAATCCTTTAAGTGTCAGACCTTCAACCTTATCTTGAAAAATCTTCCATCGTTCAGTAGAAGAAGAGAACAGTGTGTAGATATCACTCCAAAAAAGGACATAACTTTAGAACAATAATTTGCCAAATCACATAACACTAGATTAAGACTATGATAAGCACATGAAGTATAGAAATCCCTAGGATTTATTTCAAGTAATCTTTTTTGTACACCTTTATGTCTCATACTCATGTTAACTCCATTGTCATAGCTTTGACATCTTATATTATCAATATCATGCTCAAGATTACTTAACACATTTTTAAGCTTAGTGAAAAGTCCAAGTCCTGATGTATCGTCTAATGCTCTCTTTCTTTGTTGTTAACCAATTGTTTGCTTTCATCAATAGTAAGTTTTGTTTGAAGCCTATTTTCGAGTTCTATCAACTAGTCTTGCAGCCTATATACTCCTTAGCCACTTCATGATTTGTAAGGCACCAATGCATATTATGCCGATTTTTGTATCCGTCATTACCCAATTGACCAATATTTTTCATCGTTTTTCGTTTTAAAAAATTTGCAGCAAAAAGTAAAAGATCATGTCTAAAGGAATTGAACTAACCATCTTCTATCAATTGTCTGCCCATTTGCAAATAGCCACTTATATTGTAATGAATCAAATGCCTACCTTGACCATCTTTGGGAGTTAAGATGTCATCAACTCTTTTTGGACCATTTCAACTAGAAAGTCCACTGTCTTTTGATCAATGTGAACGTCCTTCCAATTTCCAGTATCATCAAAATTCAAAGAGAAGCATTTCTCTTGATTTAAATCTTCATGTTGAATATTTTCTTCATCATTCCGCTTTGATTCATCTACATTGGTAGGTTCAATCATTTCCTCGTTTTTTTTCCGTTCATGCACATTATCATTATCATTTTGATTCTATTGTTCCTCAATCACTAAATTTTCTGATGTTCCTTCAATCTCTTTTCTTTTCTTGTTATTAAAGTACTTATCCACATCCTCAGTTTAACTTCGAATTAATGCCTATACTCTTTCTCTCTTCTTTTTTTGAGCTCTAGATACATATTTAGGAGTCATGATATTTGACTTAAGTCACTCAACAACCAACAATTACTGAAATTTGAATGTAAAATTTGAAAAAGAATTAAAACATCAATCCATTGAAATTTGAATGTAAACTTAAACGTCATTCCATATCATTAACAGGCACCTCATATCAGTACGTAACAGTTAACTAACATGGACCCAGTTAACTAAAGAGTCCAGAAGTAAACCAATTAGTCAAAATTAGAATATTCACTGAAATTGACCCAAAGTAAAGAAAAAAATTGAAATAGGAAACCTTGCAAATAATGATTAAACTTGTTTTGATGTGAGTAATATCACCACAGAGAGAGAGAGAGAGAGAGAGAGAGAGAGAGAGAGAGAGAGAGTTCTGATGTAATCCATGTAAACTCTAAAACCAAAGACAAAATGAAACTGAAAAGGCAACAGTAACGTATCATTATGCAAATGTTGAAAGAAAATAATCAAGGAAAGAAAGAATTGATAATAAAAGAAAACCCATATTATAAAAGGCAGAAGAATTCAACCTACAAACTAAAAACAAGCTATGTAGAAAAGCAAAAAGTCTGTTACTGTATGAGAAATATACCCCGGGTCTCTCTTCTTTGTTAAGATCAGAGGCTTTTGAGTCGAGCATCACAGCTTCCATAGAAAATTCTGCAAAATGCTTGACCCAGTAATTCTTCTGAATCTCACATTCTTCTTCTGCACATACAAATCATCATTAAAACATGCAATGAAGACAGTAAAAAAATGGAACAAAAAATATCAGACCATGAATAGTAGCCATTGTAAAATTCTCCATGGACCAAGATCTATTTTTATTATTTGGTCAATGTCAATCTATTCCACCAGATCATAAAGATATACTACATTGCACAATAGAAAACTCCCATGGAGCATTAGTGTTAGGTGGTCCTGCTAAGAAAAATCATATAAGTAAGAGTTTAATTTGTTTAGAGCCCTTCTTAAAGTTAATATTTCCTTAAGGTATACACAACTAGAACATGAAATTAGCTTTTCCTAGTGATCTAAGCTACAGCAGCATTGGAATTCTGTTGATTTCAATAGGAAAGAAGGAAATTACTCAAATTAGTTTATGCTTAATTGTCTATCTTAATTTATTTGGTTTATCTGTGCAAAAACCATTAGATAAACGGCCACAGGTAATCAGTTTGGTGACTAGTTTGCAAAACTAAAAATTTAAGATTAATAACAAAAACCAAAACCACAACACAAACAGAAAAATAATCTCATCCAACAATAGCATTTTCAAAAAAAAATCAATTAGGAAAAGGAAAATATGAAATAGTAAAGAAAGAAAAAAAAAAGAAATTTAAAAATCCAGATATACCCAAAACTGGCAAAATAGTATGAAAATTGAAAAAGGAGAAATTGAGAGGTCGATTGTTGATGGTGAATCGGTGATGACGGCCACCACATCATCTCCGACCTCCACCGTCATTCTTCCGAAAGCAATTTGCCGACTGCCATTGATTTCTCAAATTTGGTTTGGAGGTTATGAAATTTTGAAGGCTTACTCGTTTTTTTAGGGACAGTGGGTTTTATAAAAAAAAAAAAAAGGACAAAAAATTGGGCCCTCCTAAAATGCTGGGAGGTGGAGGCCTAAGAGGTCTGACCATGCAATAAATATTGACACCATGAAATAAATATTGACATGTACTTTTCCAACCTTGCATTGGTAGATTTTCTTTGGGGAATTTACATAAATATCACTAAATTTGAAAATGCACAAAAAATTTTATTTTGCACAATTTTTTTTTTTCAAAAATGTCACTTTTTCCCCACAAAATGTCCATATTACCCTTTGACACCTTTTTAGGAGCAATAAATGCTTGATTTGAATGCAATTAATGGTGTGATGTGATTATTTATTTATCTTTATTGTTAACATTGAAGAAATGAATATTATATTGTATAATATGAATTTTTGATTAAAAAAATGGGTGGAATGTGTACAAAGAGCACACACACGTAAGAGTTGAAATATCTTCTTCTTCTTCATCATCCTCCTTCCATTATCAACAAGGCATGAAGGAAAGCCATTGATCAATTTCAAAGGTGAGGTAGTAGAAAAGAAATCTTTTCATGCCATACTCGACTATTTTAAATATTCAGTAGAACATGATCAGAATTAATTGTTCATATTTTATCTCTTATTCATTGATATTTTTTATTTTTGGTATATTTTAGAAAGGGAAAAAATACCAATATTCTCAACAAAATGTGAAGGATTCCATATGTAATTTCATATTTAATGAAGCGTTGAGTTATACTTTTTTTATGCATGGGAAGATCAGCTGAAATTGTAGTTGAGAATTGATTATGACCATTAATGTTTTGCAATAAATTCCTGAAACAGTAAAACACATGATTTTTAGCTTCCCCGAAACTTATGCCGTTCAACTATTGAGCAGTTTCGCAGAAACTGTCGGGTTAGACATTTTAACTGTCGAAATCGACACTTAGTAACTGTCGGGATGGACAGATAATTCAATTGCCCATTTTGACACTTGAAAAGCTCTCTCTTTTTGGTACTACATGGATCAAAGTATTGTAATTCGACAATTTGATTGTATTAAATCCTTCGACATATGAATGTGCAGAATTCTAACTTTTGTACCCCCCACATTTCAGGTATAGTTCAGGATCTGAGATTCATCGTGTCGCATGGGTGGAACTTTGTTCACATGGATGACAAATGGAAGTGGAGAGAAGACAAAACGACTTTCATTTTAGCGCCGAGAAGCATTATCGTAGCAGAACTTGTGTTAATATTGAATGACAAACTTGGTATTATTGAATCCCGCAATGAAATCGAATTGAAGTACAAAGTCCCAAATTTGAATAAACATCCGCAGAGATATGAGACGATGAGGACCTAAATTGGTAAATATCTATTCATAAGGAGACTGCACTCTGCGTCATTATTATGGGAAACCGAGGTCCCGAGTGTTGACATGGCTAGGGAAGCAAACTGTGTAGAGAACCAGTTCGGCCTAACGGAATGTCCCCAGACTTTAAGACATGGTGAGCTCAATCATCTGCACAGTGGGTCAAACAACGAAGCACCCACACCTTCAATTGACCATATCGAGGCTGCAGCATCCGTTAAGCACTTAGACAACCTGTTACATGGTACGGAGGATGCTATTATTGCTGAAATTGACGAGCCAATGTCATCACATTCCATGAGTTTGGGCACAGATGAGTGGATTACAGCCGTCGTTCTCGTCGAAAAGCAAATATTCTTTAGCAAGAAACAATTGTACTCGAAAATTCGTGTGCTTGCTTTTCAAGAGAAGTTTCAATTTCGGGTGAGTAGGTCAAGCATGAAAATGTTAATCGTTGTATGTGTGGACGATAATTGCAAGTGGATGCTACGTGCTTCTACTATCAAGCAATCTGCAATCTTCATGATCCATAAATTCATCAACGTGCACACATGTTCCCTTGATTTTCGTCGTAACGCACATCGGCATGCCACTAGTTCTATAATTGGCGAGCACATTTTGGGCAAACTGGATACTCCATATCGATCTTATGACCCTACCGCTATTGTACGTGACATGGAACGTGAGTTCGGTGTGAAAATCAGTTACAACAAAGCTCGTAGGAGAAAGCTTCATGCCTTAACTATGCTACACGGTACACCAGAAGCCAGTTTTCAGAAATTATCTTTATACTGCCACGTCGTAGGAGAGAGTAACCTGGGGACAGTAACCCACATAGAACTCGATTTTCAAAATAGGTTTCATTACTTCTTCATAGCTTTCGGTATAAGCATTTGTGGTTACATGCAATACTTGAGACCCGTTATTTGTGTTGATGACAGTCATCTGAAGGGTCCATACAAAGGAACACTTCTACTGACAACTACCCAAGATGGTAACAAACAGATATATCCGTTAGCATGGGGGATCATGGATACTGAAACCAATAAATCCTGGAAGTGGTTTATGTCCAACTTGAAAGAACTTATAGGGGACTCTGAAGACCTCGTATTTGTTTCAGACCAAAAAAAGAGCATTGACAAAGCTATTACTCA